GAGCAGGTCTTACATATTTCTAAATAGGAAACCCTAGAAGAAAAAAGGGATTTATATGTGTACCAGCAATTTACTTGGTGAAGAAGAAACACAGAAGATTTGCAGAAAGGTCACTTGTCTATGACTTGGATGAAGCGTACACTACCATCACAAGTGCCAATCTGACCATGCTACTCCAAAACTTGGAGAGCTTCGACAAATGGTAAAGTCCCTTGTTTTATTTGCTTCCCAGTCAAAATATTCTGAGGGAAATACTGAGCACACTGGTAGGAAAGCAGATAAATGGGAACACTAGCAAAGTTAAATAAACTTGCAGGAAATATTGTACCTGAGTGCTACGCTGTGAAATATGAGATAGTGTCAGATGAAGAGCCCTGTAATGTCTACTGACTGAAATCATCTTGGTCTCTTACTGAACCAGAGAAGGAATGTAGGAAAGTGGTTCAAGTCCCTGCTCCTCCACAAAGTATCTGGATGGCCTTGGGCAAATCCTTTCTCTGCTCTGTGCCATGGTTGTTCATCTATGAGTGGAATCAAAAATGCATGTGCACTCTCTCTGCACATGAAGGAATAACTACACTGTGGATCCTGGGGTGCTTAGATAAAGAATTGACTGATTAAAAGCTTATATCCAAAATCAGGAAGATATTTTTTTCAGGACAACATAAACCTGATTTTTGAGAATATTTAGTAAATTAGCTTATTTAGTTTTGGGCACTTCTAATTAAGTCAGAGAGTGAGTTCACAAGATCCATGTGAAATGGAAGTGATTAGAACCATTACCTACACAATGGGAAAGGGCTTTGCCAACCCGGTCTAGTGGAAGGTGTCCCTGCTCATGAGAGGGGGTTTGGAACTGGATGAGCTCTAAGGTCCTTTCCAACCCAAACTACTTTTTGATTCTATGAAATCTCCTTGTTGCTTGATGTGGAGCTGGTGTGAGACTGGTGGTTCTGCACCCTCATTGCCCATTCCTGCAGGGAGATGAGAGCGACTTCTCACCCATGCAAAGGAAAGGTATCTCAGCCTCCTCCTGTGAAGTTAGATAGTAAGTTTTAATCTAACTCTACAGGTTTCTGACCAAAAAAAAATTTTATAATAGCTCCATGCATTTTGCCAGGTTGTCCCTATTTCCTTCACAATGTGTCAGCGAAGAGTTAAGGAACTCTTCTAATAGCAGCTCAGAATTCTTCTTCTAAACAAACTGTTTCTTCGCTGAGCATGAAAAAAGGGAAAGAACAGGAAGAATGATACTGTAAGAATTGTGAAAATAATAACAGTCTGCTAGATTCTGTGAAGTGTAATGATGAGGTGTTAATCCACGAGCTGGAGGGAGTTTGCCCATCCTGTTACCAGGCTACTTATTTAATGGTGAGGATGCAAACAGCCAGGTTTTCCTGTTGGGATTCCTTAAGGAACCTCTGATTGCTGGACTGCCTTAGCTGATTCGGTGTACGTGTGCCCTACAATTAGCTGAACAGAGGGCATTCTTGGTGGGCAAGACCCCATAAGGTTGGCACTGATATCTCATATATGGCCATACTCCTCCTGCTGATATCTGTCCTTTGCTTCTAAAGGCACAGTTGTGAAGCTGTGCAGCTACAAAGGTCATTAGGCATCACGATGTCCAGTGTCCACTGGTGGAGTCAGTCCTGACCCAAGAGCTCTTGCTGTGGAAACAGCCCCAGAGACAAAATGGGATGTATAATGTTTCTGTAATTGCAGAGTTTTTTTTTCTCTTAATAAAAAGGAAGTGAGAAATAAGAGCTGGAAAAAAACTTAGAAATCCCCACAATGTGGCTGGTGATAAGCAGGGAGAGCAGAGGTAGAAAAGCCTTTCAGAAAACTGAGGAAGGGAATAAAAGTTCAGAGAATGAAAAAACACTGTGCTCAAGTGTGACGTGTCAACATTAGTGCCACTGCAACAAATTAGTTTTGTTATCTCTGAGACTTCAGGAAGAGGTTAGTGATGCCCACATGAATTATAATCATGTAGCTACATGCAAGTAGTTGTTTTTTGTTATATGCTCACCTGAATTTAATTTTCCCCTCTTCCGCAATCATCCAGCAGGCTGCTCTCTAGGGGCACCTTTACAAGTTGCCTTTGAATGTACAAGAATTTCAACAGAGGTTTCTTCTTCTTTTAAGCATATTAAAAAGCTATTCCATGATAAAACATAAGGTTTCCTATATTCCTCAGCCAGTGTGAGGTCTGCAGCCGTTCTGGAGTGATAGTGATCTCCAGGGACATTAGAAACACTGGTACTTTTCAGAATAACCTTTTTTCTTTTACCGGATTCTTCTTTGGAGACTAAGCTGTTAATTTGGGAGTGTATTCCCCATAAGTCACACATATAAAGGTGTCGGTCACTTTCTACCCGACACATAACAAGGGGTCCCGAGCTGAAGTGAGTGGAAATGAGAACCAGACTAGGCATATGGAGGAACTAATGCAATGAGATTCTATATTTTGGACTCTACAGCTAGTGCCTTAGACACTAATGGCTAACCCTCATTGGGTGCTTGGCATTCACTCATGCTTGGTGCAAGGAGGAGTTGGTTGATGACAAACTGAACATGAACCGGCTTCAGTGTGTGCTCGCAGCCCAGAAAGCCAACCATATCCTGGGCTGCATCAAAAGGAGAGTGACCAGCAGGTCGAATGAGGTGATCCTGCCCCTCTACTCTGCTCTCGTGAGACCTCACCTGGAGTATTGTGTGCAGTTCTGGTGTCCTCAACATAAAAAGGACATGGAACTGTTGGAACAAGTCCAGAGGAGGCCACAAGGATGATCAGGGGACTGGAGCACCTCCCGTGTGAAGAGAGACTGAGGAAGTTGGGGCTGTTCAGCCTGGAGAAGAGAAGGCTGCATGGAGACCTCAGAGCAGCCTTCCAGTATCTGAAGGGGGCCTATAGGGATGCTGGAGAGGGACTCTTCATTAGGGACTGTAGTGATAGGATAAGTGGTAACGGGTTCAAACTTAAACAGAGGAAGTTTAGATCGGATATAAGGAAGAAGTTCTTTACTGTAAGGGTGGTGAGGCACTGGAATGTGTTGCCCAAGGAAGTTGTGAATGCTCCATCCCTGGCAGTGTTCAAGACCAGGTTGAACAGAGCCTTGGGTGACATGGTTTAGTGTGAGGTGTTCCTGCCCATGGCAGGGGGATTGGAACTAGATGATCTTCAGGTCCTGTCCAACCCTAACTATTCTATGATTCTATGATTCTAAGATAAAACAATGAAAAAAGCTGCCATCACAGCAGTAGTGCTCAGACTTTGGAGAATTATTTTCAGTTACCTGAACCAGCCTAAAACGACCCTGGTAGGGCAGTGTGATAAAGCCCATTGCAATATTTTAGGTGTTTAAATTCTCTTTGAAACCTCTAATGTAGTCAGAAGTCTGTGATCTCATGTGTCATGACTATAGGCTGCTTTCAGATATATAATTTAACTCCCATTTTTCTCAGGAAAATGGAAATAGCAGACACTCCCTTTTAGCCAATAAAAAATCCATCTTGAAAAGCTGAATAAATAGTGATATCAATAGTCAGTGATAGCTAATCTTTTTCTGTAAATCCATAAATGCAGCTTATATCTCAAATCAGCTGCTACCCTGTGAGAATGGAAACAAGATAATGACAAATGGAAATCCAACATTCTCACATTCTTTTCTTAGCAGTTGCTTAGCAAACAAGCCCTTTAGCTATCAGGTGGTCAAGCAGATACCATTCTTGACACTGCAATGAAAAGTAACATCTCAGGCACTTCCATGACCCCAGTTTCGTAGAGCTGGCTGTTGACAGTTTTAATCTGAATCACACTCGCAATATTCTGGTGAGGAAGGAAAATAGGGTTGGTACATCCATTTTACAGCTGAAGAACAAAAACTCCAGGGGCTCAACTCCACAAAAGCCTTTGTGCTTCCCCAGTGTCCCTGGGGGAACCTTCGTCCAAAATTCAGACTCCTGCAGTTGTCTGCTGCCTGTCCTGGAAATGGCTTTGAATTCCTCCCTTAGCACGTAGAAAACCAGTTTTCACATATATCTAACCCCAGGGTGACTTCTGAATTACTTTTAATTAGATGTCTCTTGTTAGGTCTATTATTCTTTTACTAATTTGATTAGACTTCCTTGCATTTTCTGAGAAAATGGTTTTCACTTTGGGTTTGCAGAACCAGGAGCATTTGTAGGATATTTACATGAAAGACCCTGAAACCAGTTAGAAAAAGAGGATTTTCTGTTAGACCGAAATTTGGTCTCATTGAAAATTACATGTTACAAATCAAGCTGTTTATTTATAGGTGAAACAATCTTTCCAATATATTGCTTCAATTTAGCTGGAATACAAATCAATTATTTTTTTCTTATAGGATAATAATTGGAATTCTTTTAAAATGTCATTGGGCTTCTTTTATGAGCCATAAGAGTAACAATTTCACTTCATCATATATTGCAAATACTCAACGTTTCTGGAAATGGCTCAGTGACTTCTTTATTGACATTGTACAGCATTTCTGGAATCTATTAGTGTATTGTTGGGCTCTTTTCTCATTTTTGCTGTTGTATAGTGAAACTGAACTGAGAGCAAGATGTTCATTTAGGCTAGAAATGAAGCAAAGCAAGCTTGTCCAGATATATTAAGGACCATTTTTTTCTCATAGAGGAAGCAATAGCAGAATAACCGAGTGCTCTGCAGTACGTTTCCCTTATTCCTGGAACTAAACCTGGACTAGTGTGATTTGTGAGACTCCCAGTTTGTCCTGGATTCCAGAAATGAGTTGTATGACTTGAAAACTTACAAGAAAGCCTCAATGTAACTTTGGGAGGGTTTGCATGTATATTCTGGAATTTGTTACTTGACCCAAGCCTAAAATCTGAAGGCAGTTGGTGCTCTCCTCCTTGAGGGAGGTCAGTTAAACCTGAGCATAGCTCTGAAATTCCAGGGTTCAACCACTGAGTTTCCTAATAACTTCATTTTAGTTATTCTTTATCTCTTGCAGAACCACAGCAGATGAAGAAAGTAACATTTCATCATCCTAGCAGTTCAGTGAATACAATTCCTGCATTTATCAAGTACCAGATACCTGACACCAAGGCAAACAAACAGGCAAATATGAGTGTGTTGCTGTATCTTTCAGCTCCGTCCTTACACATCTCCCCAGGGGTAAAAAAAACTTATGAATGCTAAAGTGTTCTCAAAAGGTTTTCTTTTTAGCTAGATTAATAGCTCTTTAGAGGGCTCCTTCACCACAGGCTCCTTTGGACACCGATGTTTTGTTGAACTTGTACGCCCTTCCTCTGAAATGGAGGTTATTCGATAACCATTTACAACACTCAGTGCATTGATGTACAAGAGTGCAGAGCACCGGTTACAGATTTCTGGAAGTGTATCCTCAGCCAGATCACAAATAAACTTCTGAGTAAGTATCTATCAGCCTTTCTTTCCTATAAGCTTCACTTAAAAGTTATTTGAGATCCTGAAATGCTGCATTAAAGCTCGTGATTCTGGGCAGAGCCTCCCTCCGTTATGGTGTTGAGCTGTTTCACATGTAAGCCTCATTTTTCACACAGCCAATCTACCTTAGGGCAGGAATGACAGACATGGGCCGATGATGGATACCACAGATTTCTACATCAGTAGGTAATGTTGATGACACTCTATGATATCTCCTCTAGGCAGCAGTGTATCAGCTTGAAAGACAAAGTGTTTTCTATATTTATTTAAAGGTACAGCTTTAAAGTCTTTCTTCTTAACAGCTTTTTTTTTCTTACAAATGCCTCTCTCTTGAGTTTAATTTCCACCTTCCTCAGGTGAAATGAATTGCTTGTGGGGGTTGTTTTGTTGAAATCTATGTTTAAAAACTGTGCCCTGAAAAAGAGCAAGAGACTAGATACTTCTAACCCATACACTGCACTAACAAGTGTAAAACAAGAGCCAAGAGGATGAGGAAAAGTGGCACATGAGTGAGCATTAATACCTTTATTTTTTGTAAGCCTCCTTATTTTTATTATATGAGATCCTTATGGAAACTTTCAGCTTTGTTTTGTTATGCAGAAAGTGAAGCAGTAATCCTCAATGGCCTAAATCCTGGGAGCAATACTGAACCTGAAAACCCACTGAACTGAAAGGGAGAGTTTCTCCATGAATAAGGAAGCTGCTGATGTGGAGAGGGAGAGAATGATTTATTGTTTTTGTCCATGCCTGATAGAAAAAGGATGGGCTTAAATTGCAAAGACTCAGGTTAAGCTTCCTTTTCCTCTCTCTTAGTGAAGCCAGCCACCTAGCAAGGAGAAGGTGTTCCCATTGTTTGAGCATCAAGTATCACTGTCATTATCTATCTCATTGCAGCTATCTCCTTCCAGAGCAGTCAAGTGAGTATTGAGAAAACAGCTATCATGTTCAATTGCTCGTGAGAGGCACAGCTACAGGTTGGGCAGAGAAGAGATTCAGAGCAACCCTGTGGAGAAGGACTTGGGGGTGTTGGTCGATGACAAACTGAACATGAACTGGCTTCAGTGTGTGCTCGCAGCCCAGAAAGCCAACTGTATCCTGGGCTGCATCAAAAGGAGGGTGACCAGCAGGTCGAACGAGGTGATCCTGCCCCTCTACTCTGCTCTCGTGAGACCTCACCTGGAGTATTGTGTGCAGTTCTGGTGTCCTCAACATAAAAAGGACATGGAACTGTTGGAACAAGTCCAGAGGAGGCCACGAGGATGATCAGGGGACTGGAGCACCTCCCGTGTGAAGAGAGACTGAGGAAGTTGGGGCTGTTCAGCCTGGAGAAGAGAAGGCTGCGTGGAGACCTCAGAGCAACCTTCCAGTATCTGAAGGGGGCCTATAGGGATGCTGGAGAGGGACTCTTCATTAGGGACTGTAGTGATAGGACAAGTGGTAATGGGTTCAAACTTAAAGGGGAAATTTAGATCGGATATAAGGAGGAAATTCTTTCCTGTTCGGGTGGTGAGGCACTGGAATGGGTTGCCCAGGGAGGTTGTGAATGCTCCATCCCTGGCAGTGTTCAAGACCAGGTTGGACAAGGCCTTGGGTGATATGATTTAGCGTAAGGTGTCCCTGCCCATGGCAGGGGGGTTGGAACTTGATGATCTTCAGGTCCTTTCCAACCCTAATTATTCTGTGATTCTATGATTAGGCAGGGTATGAGAGAATACAGAGTTGAAAGAGTTTTTGCTGGTTTTGTCAATGCCTGAAGGAAGGCTGGTGAATTCACAGCTACAGACTTGCACCAAACTGCGCCGAGCTTGTTCTGCCACTTTCAAGAAATTCCTGGCTTTTTTCTCAGCCCGATTCTTCCAGTTTCACCTTGCTCTATTTCAAAATCTGACAGCTCTCTTTAGCTCCTTGCAGTTCCTCCTCCCTTTTTTCTCACTCACCTGTTGACTTCAGCTGCCTGAAACTTTTAACTCTTGAACTGGCTACTCAGCCGTATCTTGTTGGATCAGCCCTACCACGACTGTAAGTAAGTCACCTGCTGACTTTGACTGCATAGTGGTTTGCATCTCACGCCTTTAGCAGAAGTGCAAACACCACAGTATGGAATTCTCCTCAGATTAAAGGAAATAAATAAATAAAGTCTTTTTCAGGCTTCTTGGAGAGAACTTGAAAACTTAAGCTGAGCAGGCATTTGTAATTGGAAATGTTCTCAATCAAAATGATGCACTCTCAGATCACACTGTGTCCCTCAACCAAGACCTGGGAGCAGGGTCTTTGGATTGTGAAGCCACAGGAGACAGCAATGCACAGCTTACCCTGCTGCAGCTGAGCTGTAGTGCCTCAAGGACCATGGGAGCATGCAAACAGGTTTCTATTTTGGCAGTCATCGCATTGGCTTTTTGGGGCTGTTGATAGCTTTGGTGTAAAGAGAATGGCTCATCACACAGCAGTATCAGAGCTGAAGAAGAAAAAGCACTTCACAGAGGATTAAAATCTCATTTGAATGCTATTTTACTGGACAAAATTGCTCACAGACACAGGATGTTGGTAGACATCCTGGGCCAATCCCTTAAACGCTGCTGAGACCTTCCTCAAACCTTACTTTCAGGGGAAAGAAACCTTTCCAGACTTACCTGACAGTGAGCCAGTATAGTGAGGGTCACAAATGGAAACCAATAATGAATAAAATAATTATAAAAGCTTCTTTAAAAGATGCCAACTGCATTAAATAGTTAAATAAATGGCTGCAGTTTTATTATCTCTGCAGAAAAGACATTTTGTACGGTAGTAATGGCAAATGCAAGGGATTAATGAAGGTACTGAAGAAGCTTTGTTTAAAGAGGTGAAACAGGCAATTCTTACAGGAGTGCTGCTATATGGATTGTGAATAAAAGTCTGCTGTGAGAAGGAAGCACAAAATTGCATCCTGAAAATGAGTAGCACTCTGAAGGAGAAATTCATGGCAATGTAAACTGGAACTTTTCTTTAGAGAAACCCTTAAAATGAAACTGCTCCCTTCTCCTTCTTCCCAAGCTGCTGACACGCATAAAAATGTGTTTGACCAGCAGCTTATTTGGAATGTTTTCTCCTTCCCTAACAAAAATGTGTTATTTCTCTAAACAATATGCCACTTAATACCAACAGAAGGCTCCTCAGCAGATAGGACATAGTTGCAAGGCTTCAACCTGTGCCAGGGTTTGGATCTAGGAAGAAAACCTTGCTAGACTCAAGTATTTACTTATTTAGTGATTCTTTCCAAGGCCATATTTTTAAGTTGTAGGGGAAACCATCCTGAAGAGTAAACTGAGTGACTGGGAAGTTGAAGTACAGAAGCTTGCTGTGACCGAGTTAGTAATGCTCTCTTTAAACAGTGGTCCCACTGAAGAATTGAACTTAAGTGCCTCGGTACGGTAAAGCGTATGTGTTGTCTTTGGGAAGCATTTCCAGCTTAATAGGGACGAAGTTTCCTTTATGCCTGATGCAGCAGCACATTTCGTTTCACAAATTTCCTTTTCCACCCATTTAAGCAATTAACTTGGAATGAATGAGATGCCAGATGAATATTACTGCCTTAAGAGTCAATAGCTGCTTCTGAGGTGGCTCTGGAGAAAAGAGGGGTCTATATTAGCCATCTGTGTGTTTTGACGTCTTGCCAAAGCCACGCCACATCAGCAATTACCTCAGAAGCACTGTCCCCATGCCACTGCGTGCCCCATTTCAGCAGCAATTTGTGCCCTCTTATTTTCATTCTGCTCTGGCTCATGGAAGAGAAACAGTGACCTTTTGGAGTAAGGGAGAAGAATAGAAGCTTTGCACGCCCTGTGCAGCCCATGGATGGGGGCTCCCAGGAGACACACAGGGGCACTTGCAACCTGGGCATGGGCAGATAGCATAAGTGATGATAGTGTTAATTATTCCCAGTGCTACCATAAAGCTTACAAGTCCCAATGGCATCTTCTTAACTGGTAAAACTGTCCCATGTGTAGTCAGCAGCCACCTTGCTGCTTCCCACAGCTGACGTGAAAAGAGATGGCAAGCCCACTGTAGGTAGACAGAAACCTGATGTCCCCTAGGATAGCACAGATACACTTCCAGGTGCCTGTTTCAGCTCCCTGTCCTCATGTAGATCAACTTCTGATTCAGTGAATTTCCCCTGCTCTTCAAAAGAAGAAAGCTGAAAGATGGCACCCCTCTATGGTGCCTTGTAACAATGGTCAGGGGCAGAACTGAATAAGCAATGATGTTTTGAAGCTAGCAGCTCACTAAGCATGTCCAAAACACACTGAAGAAAATTGTTGGCCCTGATGAAGCAGTTCTTAGGCAAATATCTGGGAATTAATCTGGATCCTTCATTAAAAGTATTGTTAAATATATTCCATTTGTAGGATATTTGCTTCTGGGGATGCCTGACCTGGAAAGATAGGATCAGGTTAAACATGAGGCACTTGGAACAAGGGGCTTCACTCCAAGGCACCATCCCTACTCAGGCAATAAGGGACAGATTGGAAGGAGAAGCTTGCTTGCCAGCTGAATATTTACCAGCTGAATAGTTTAGGCCATGAGATGCTTGATAAAACAATGAATCTGCCCCTGCAATCTGTCAAGGTTATTTTCAGCACAGGTCAGCACTTTAAGGCTGAGTTTCCAAATGTGGGTTCTGACACTGTTCTTGCAAGACATTTGCTTGCCCACCTCAGGAAGCAGGTACTTATCGCTGTGGTTATGTGGTCTGCATGAGCAGAGCCTCATATGCAGAGGAAAAGGGATTCTGTGCACTTCTGACGGTCCATCTGAGGCAATGGGAACAGTTCCCTTCCAGGCTGAAGAATATCACCCTGTTCTTAATAGCTGGGCAAGGTGGTGATTGAGGTCAAGAGAGAGGGAAATCTGTGGTGAGACTTACCTGGGTTGGCTGCCTGCAATGGTGTAGCTGCATGGTGCTCCAAAGCAGGGCCTGGGATGTTCATCACTGAGCAAGTTCATGCACACCCCTGTCCTTTTGGGGAAGAAAGCAGGCATAATACCACTAGAAATGCTGCCACTTATAGCATTCTCGAATGCAGCTTAATTTATGGTGAAATGGGTGGTTTGTTGAACCCAGGGCTTTTGAATTTATAAACTATCATAAAATAGTCGCTTAATCCAGGGCGCAGTGACAGAGATAGGAATTGTGCACATTTCAATTTAAGCATAAATCTATTTTTACACTGCCTTCTTATTTTGGCCTCCTAGGTTTGTCTCTGTCAGAAAGTACCACATCCGATCCTGCTAATTCCTTTCTTTAGGTTCTTCCTGTCAGAAAGCGGATGTGGCCTTGCTGAATTATTGCAAATTCACTTTGTGCAGTTTGGCCCTCTGGTATTAACAATACATTTCCTCTGAGCAAGGAAAACAGCATTACAATCATATGCCTTCACTCACAAGCAGGTATGCTGACACACAAAAGTATGGATTTCGGTTCCTACATGAAAGCAGTTCTGGCTCTTGGAGGTGCTGGGAGCAGAGGCTCCTATGAAAAGGCTTGACTTTAGGCATAACATTGAAACAGTTGGCATATTGAGCAGGAATAAATGTCATCATAGAAAGTGACAGTCCTGAAACTCCGTGGAAATAACTTAAAGCCCTTGTTGCTTAAAAAAACTCCCTTCACATGGAGTTTTTCTTCTAGTTCTGTCTGAAATACTCTTAGTCTGGACTGAATTGTTTTCCTTCTTGAGGTTCAGACCTTTTTGGTTTTCTTCTAAAGGGAACTATTCCAGCAGCAGGGCTGAGTAAAATGCAAGTGTGCCAGGCTGGCTTCAGTTTTGTTTTAACAAACACTTCAGTTATACTTAATTTTATGTTTTTTGCTTTGTCACTGTGATTTCTCAAACACCACAAGGTTATATTCATTTAAAATGAGCACCAAAGCAAAGCACACTGCTCCAACAAGGATATGCAGATGTGTTTATGACAGAAGCAGTGTTGTAAAATCAAGACTGACACAACACCAAGCAATATCTAGGTTGTGAGGGATATGGAGATCCCTTCCACTCCCTCAGCCTATACATTATTGCTGCCACATTTGAGCAAATTCAGCTTGCCAGATCAGCTGTTTAAAAGTTAAAACCTGGGTACCTCTAAAGTCAAAGTATCATTTGTATCATAGTATAAAATATATTTGCTAACAGTCTTTTTCATACCTGTAAGAAAAGTAAATGACGCATTATTACCAAGAGCTATCAGTTTAGGAACTAAAGAAATAATCTGAGCGGTACAAACCAGGAAACTATTAGAAACGTTATGCAATGATTTCTGGCAGTGTGAGGGCAGGCAAGAGCACAATTTCATAACCTGTTTAGCAACACTTCCATGATTTAATCCTGGCTTTGTCCTTAGTAGCAGTTGCCAGACTTCCCAAACCAACAGCTAAGGTGGGAATTCACTGGAGAGAGTAAACAATATTTAGTGATTTGAGCTGTTTAAGACCTAGCGTATGAACTGGTGAGACCTTGAGTCTTGAGACCCATACCACCAGCTCTTCTTTGCAGAGGAGAGCCCTTTCACTTCCAGTCTGGACCCTGACACCCATGGGTGTTGACTTTGCTCCCAGTGGTGTGTGCACATTTCTAGGGCATGATTTTTCTGAAAACCATGGCTGATTTGACCCTTTCTCAGACCAAAATGTCAGGTGATGCTTCTCTTTCTACCAAAAAGGCTTGTTACAAATTAAAGATTTTCCAAAGTAGCTCTGATGGTGAAAAGATATCATGGAAGAGAACTGATTTAATTCATAAGCAGCCACGGAATTTTGTTCTTGTAGTATGGGGATAATAATCTATGCTACATGATTCAAACTGTGCGACAATTTCTATCACTAGGAGATTTTAAAAGTATGACTTACTTACTTTTTTGGCACCCCAAAATGATCAGTAAGTTCTTAAATCTCAGAACTGGTACTGAAAAATGGAGAACCCTAAAATGTCTTCATATAACACAATAGATGTGGTCCTTTCCATCCCTAACTGTTCTATGATTCTATGATCTTCACCCAATAGACCCAACACCTGTTGAAGGAACCTAAACTTTCACATCGGAGCTTGTGCTCCTAGAACACTTAGTAAAGCTCGGCTGAAACATAAATCCAGACTTTGGACAGATGGCTGATTCACATCAAAGTTTATTTTCCAGGAGTTTGCTGTACACTTTCCATGGATACTCCAAAGAGTCATTTCTTGATATTACGATGTTAGCCCATCAGTAATCTTCAGAGTTTCCATCTCACTTGCCAAACCCTATGAATCCATTTAGCCTCCTGTTGACCCACGTTTGTGAACACCGCAGGGTAAATTTCATCACATAGCATGGATTTACTATCCCCTGAGTTGCCAGTAGTTGTCTCTGAATTGTCCTATTTTATAGCTATGAGGTTCACTGACATTAAGAATAAACCAGGCTGAAAAACCTTATAAGTAGTTTCTTCAAGACTCTTGAGATACGTATCCACCTTCCCAGGTCACTTGATAACCAGACTGCTAACCAGGGTGCTTTTGATAGAAACATGCTGAATTGTCAGTTAAAACTTTCCAATGTAAGTTCCAGCTGCACTTTTTGCCAGGTTGTGGATGAAATTTCCAACTGAATGATGAGATCAGTCCCTGCCTCCCCATCACATTCCAGCACTGCCAATAGCACTAAAGTTGTTAAAGACCTCATTTGCAATGACAGAGACCCAGGCCTTCCATCTGCCTAATTCAGATCAAGGTGTTCAGCCCAGATCATCTGTGTGTTGGACGATCATCAGCCTTTCCTCCTCAATCTTTCCTGTTAGAAATATTCTGCTTTCTAAGATATAACTAGATACTAATTGAGTAGAGAAATACAAAGGAACTCATTAAAAATGGAGAAGTAAATGAAATTGCGTTTCTTGGCACCGGATACTTCTGACAATTGCTCCAGTGACAACCTTGGTCCATATTGTTCTTGCTTGAACATCTCTTTACATTGAGTTTGGAAAAAGAATGGGTTCAGATGTTCTCTTAAATTTATTTATATAGTCATGTGGCACTGTGGTGCTGTCTGGAGGTACGAACAGGAGTATATGGACCTGAGCCATGCTGGTGATTGACATCTGTGAGTAGACATCTATTCAAACCTGCTGAGACTTTACCTGGATTTCAGAGGATTTGTCAGAAGCAGAGCTAAACCTCAGCATAAGATTCATCAGGAATACAAGTCCTCACAGGCAGATGAGTAGCTGAAGGAACTCAAATAAAAGCAACAAAAATGTAAAGACAGACTGACAAGAAAAGAATTACAAAAGCTGCATTGGCTAGGAGACAACTGGTGAAGGACATGCTTGTTCCAGTTTATTTGAGGCATGAAACACCACCTAGCATAAAGTATATTTGAAGATGAAAGAATTGTGAGGATTACTTCTTATTGATGGCTCAAATCAAATGCATACTACCTATTAAAATGAACCATATAGAGAACAAAGTAATAAACAAAATACAGGATTGCTAAGCAACAAAATAAGGGAGGCTGCTAGAACAAAGAAGACATACTCCTAAAAAAGGTGAAGTTGTTTTGAAATGAAGAAAAAAGAAGAGAACAATCTCCAAGAAATTACATATGAGATGCAAAAAGATGAATCTAAAAAGGAGTTTGGGATCAACTTAAGAAAGGCATAAACCCAATAATGAATTACCTAATATGTTACGAATGCCCTACAGAGATTTTGCAGGCCAGTAGACAGTGAAGGTGTGAAAGTAGCAGTGAAAAAAGGTAAAAACAGAGTAAAAGAGAAATGACTTTTTATTTTCCATTTTTATTCACCACGAGGCCTTAACACATACTTTGGCTGCCTCATTTCCAGTGTCAAAAATGGAACAAATTAAGAAATATCAGGAAAAAAAAAAAAAATGACAATGTCCCATACTGGCCCTCAAAGGGTTCTAAAGAAAGGCAAGGTTGAAATAATGGATCTTCTAGCTGTGGTGTGTGAGATCTCATTTACACCTGCCTTTGCATTAGAGAAATGGTGATGGTAATTGTTAACAAAATTCTACAAGGAGGAACAAGTTTAGAAATGTGTGCCCAGGAAGCTTGATAGAGCTTACAATAAAGGATAAGATCATGACATGAATAAATATAACTTACTAATTTATAGGGGAATAATCCAAACAACTTTGTAACAGGAAGATAAAGCTACTAGTGTTCTTTGAAGGAGTCAGAAGAATGTAGAAAAGGGAGAATATGTCTGGATTTCTTAAATACATTCAACAAAGTCCTTCACAAAAGCCTGTTAGAGAATCTATTGTGAGATAGGTAAGACTTTAATATAGATACCTGGCTAAAAGATAGGAACAATGAGTAGGAAATAGTGGTCAGCTCCTGAATATTTGCCAGTGAGCTTTCAAAGTAATCTTTGCTTGTGCTTGGGCAGTGCAACATGCGTATAAATGACCTTGATGTCCAGCAGAAGTACAAACTTGCTCACTAGACAGGACTATGCAGGGTAGAAATGAAAGCTTACTGTGAAGATTTGCAGAAGCAATAAATCAGTTCCAAAGTACTCACAAAAAAAAGCCAGATGGAATTCAGCGTTGATAAATCAGAGGTAATGCACCTAAGAAAAAACCCTCTTCAATTAACATACATAATGATATGCTCTTCAGATGTGCTCTTAGCTATTATCCTTTAGTAAAGAGATCTTGGAAGGGCCAGGCAGTTCTATAAAAAGGAACTTGATGTTCAGTAACAGTCAAAAAATCCCTACCTTTGATTTTCAGAGCTATTTGGAGAGGAATGAGAACAAAAAAAGAAAATGTCCTTATGCTATTTTGTAAATCTCTGGCACAAACACATCTTGAATAGTGCATGCTGCTCAAGATTTTCCATCTTAATAAGTGTCTGGTAAAGCTTCTACTGTAGTTGCAAGTGGATGTACACAAACAAGACCTGTAGATGGATATCTTTTCTAGACCAGCTAGAATCATAAAAAAGCCATAAACACACTACTGAGCACACAAACTCTCTCAAGATCTAAAAAGAAGCAGTAAAGAATTGTTGTGATCCAAAAGCCAGTTTCGTATTTCTAGCTATAGAAGTAAGGTTAATTAAAAAGATTAATTGGAGCTACCTAAAAACCTTGTCTTGCCTAATCTAGAGTTAGAAAATGTATAAAGAAGCTTCCAAGGTATGGTATGGCACCAATACAAAGATAAAATAAACAGCTTTGATTTATACAATTGATACCTACCAGTGGCTTGGGAGATTGTGGCCACTGCTGAGGTGTGGAGGTGGGTTAAGAAACAATGGTGACCAGCTTTGAGAGAGTCACAACACCATCATTAGGGGTCACAATGCCATTGTTAAGTAATCCAGCTCAGAACTGTAATGGCTCTCCCATGCCTGGGGTTCAGCATATGGTGCAGCTTTTACGCATGGTCAAAGGATTCCATACTGATGTCCCAAAACCTGAGGTTTTGAAGAGCGGAGCATCAATTCCATCATCAGCTCTCTCCCTGGAGGGATTCTATTCTTATTCAAGCATCGATTTGAAGTACAAGTGCTCTGGCTTTACAAGGATTTCCTGATTCTCTTACTGACATATGTATTTTTTCAGAGAGCATTGTTCTTCAATGGAGTGCATTAAAATGAATCTACAGGTAAACATTCTGTTCAACTTTTTGACAAATGGCTCTAACTCAACATTTAACTCCAAAGGGCCAGGAAATGAAAATATAGACCCATTTCTCAATAATTATTAATTTCCTGTCACTATTTTCCTTACTTCAGGAGTTTAGAAAGTTCTAAAAATCTTGTAAGATTGATTAAAGAGTAATTTGGAAGCAAGATGAGGGGAGGCAGGTGAAGGAAAGGGACAGAAGACTATTTCTGAACACTAAAAATAGCTTCAAATTCCTGCCAAGAAATGACAAATTGTTATATACACAGTCAGACATGGAGATGTATATTTTGTTTCAAATTCCAATTTCAAAATGTACTGCATAAAGAGAAACCACAAATTGAAACTCCATGTGCTCATATTGGCAGCAACACCAAAATTAAGTTTTTTTCTAAATATAACCCCCCCAAAACCTACCTCAACCTTCCTCCACCTCCTGCCCACTCTTTTATAAGTCAGAACAGAGTATTTTGGTTTCTCAGTGACTTTTTTCCATTTCTTTGAGTTACTAGTGAAGGGCCAAGCTCTCAGAACCTTACTCAGGTAACATTTCCATTGGTTTCAATGGGAGGTTTGCCCATGCGAGGTCTGCAGTATTTTTCCTGGTATTTATATGAAATGAAGGAATGTGTGACAGGAATGAGGATCAGTCTTTGCAAGAGAGCGAGAAGAAAACGCTATTTTGTAAAGGGATGGAGGGTAAGGAAGGAGGATAACGTCGTGAGGAGCACTATATAAAACTTAACCCCTCTTCCATCTCTGTAATTTCTCCCTTCTAAACAGAAAGGCTTTTCAATTTGAGTGAAATATCTAAAGAGAATTCATTTTGAGGACTCAGTCCAGGTCATAGGAAACAAGCCACATCAAAAAACCCCAAATAAATCACCTCTAATTTAAGCAAAACTGAACCAGGGACTAAAGACAAACCAGCCCTTTCAGCTTTCAGAAAAGAAACCAACATCAAAAGAAGAACCCGAAGTAGAAGCCTAGAAATGTAAATTTGTTGGTCTTTTCACACTCAAATTCTCACGCTTTTTCCATTTCCTTTTACAGAAGAAGAATGTGGTCAGACGTAGGGGAATGACTTAACAGCTTTTATTAAAAGGTAACTTAGTCAACTTAGTCCTCTTATGGATAACTACAGAATCATTATAAAGAGGATTAAACAGTTATGATCTGTCCCAGTTTGAATACTGTGGCTTGGAAGTTTTGACTCATGAGGTGTTAATTTCTCAGTCTGATTACATGAAAATGTATAAATATGAGCACTTATGAGGAAAAGACGTATCCTGCTGGAAGCTGAATGGTGTTGAGTTGCCTCCACTTCTATGAAGAGCATTGGAAAAAAACTCCTATCATGTTAAGTGGTACTGCATATAGTAGGAAGTGTCAGATACATGCAAAGGAGTGCTACCACCTCTGTTTTACTAGGTATTGAGGTGAGGAACAGATGCATTAAATGACTTTGCTGTGAGGTCCTGTGTGAGGAAGGGCTTGATCTCCACTTGGTCCACCCAATGAAGGCAGCAGGGCTGAGGGCACTCAGTGCTGGCTGTAAAGTGTCAAAAGTTGGGTGGTGGAAGTGCCACCATGTTTGACTGTGTGTAAAAAAGCCATGTTTGTTTCTAAGTGGCCAACCTGGATGGCTTGGGGCTTACAGAGACTCAAATCAGAGAGAGACGGGAATCATATTGTGTTAAGGTAATTAGGGTTACTCCTCTGAAGGAAACGAGGTGCTTCCAGCTATTGTCCTCAAAAAAGTATCAGAGAAACAGAAATTATTTGCCACAACAGCGCTAAGGAAAACCCTCCTAAACCAATGAAGCAATACAATGTAAAGAAATGTGAATGAATTGTTATATTTTTAGTAGCTCCTAAGAAATGCTCTGCCAACAGCCCTCTGAATCACTCTGCCTGGAAACTACCTGAGTGCTGCCTTATTTCTAGACATCTGTCAGCACAGTTATTAGCTAGCAACAAGCATAACATGAAAATAATCATTCTATTTAAGGCAGGAACAATAGCTAATTGACTGACATGAAATTGCATCAATATTATCTTCTGTTGACTTTTTGATAATCCATTGAAGAACAGTTTGGGTTTTCCAGGGTGGAAAACTCTACTTGTTTCCTAGCAGGAGCCCCACATCAAGAAGTTTTCCCTAATGGCTACCTAATTTTTGTAAATATAAATTATAATGCTTTCCAAGCATTGACATTTCATAACATGTCTTTCTTTTTTCCAAGGTTCCATCTTCTTCAGAATGCAGACTGATATATTTGGTACAGTAGTGGAATAACAGCTGGATACCTGAAATTCAGTTCATAGCCTTTCCAGACTAATTTTGAAATGCTAGGCTGATAAAGGTCTTTAGGCACCTGAAAGGTCCAAATAGGTGCTTCTTAGGTATCTAATTGACACTGAAACTAATGGGAATTAGGTATCTTTCATGGACTTTTAAAAAATTATGTAGGACTATGGTAGCAACAGAAGCTACAAAATAACTCGAAAATTTCAGCTTTTTCTGATGTAAGTCTGTCTTTCCTGAACCAGTCATTTTTATAATGTAAATTTTCCCCAAATTTTCATTTTTGTGAGACCCTGCTATTCCCACCCTAGTTGAAAAACCTCCTCATACAGTACATTAATGCCTCCAAACTCTTCTTTGTTTATAGGCTACTCTCAAATATCATTCAAACACTTCATGGAACTTAGAAGCTTTCCTTTGTGATCAGAAGATCATAGTCTAATGCCTGGGTGTACAATCTAGGAGATTTTTCTCACCCTACCATTCCAATTTTCAGAAAGCACCTACTTGCTTTGGGATGTCACATCTTCGCATTAAAAGTCTTAAAAATACAATCCGAGCTCTTCTGAAAAAGTATCTTTGGGAACACGAGGGTGTGCATGAATATCTTCAAAGCTGTAGTTTGACTAACCCAGCCACTGCTTAGATCATCAAACAGGCATGCATTTGGGACACAGAGGCACTACAGTCCTGGTGTATTCAGCCCAGAATCCTCATGGTTATGTGAATAATTATCCCTTCATACCGGCCTAGAAATCTTGGACAGAATTAGCAATCACAGCAAGGGTGCTAAGAAATAATTTGTACCATACATCTGTTAGTGTCCCTTAGCCCAGCTGGAATTTACATGCTTTCCTCTCTATCTTGGGTTTCTCAAATTGTGTTGATGTGTATTTAAGCCGCAGGAACATTCGAGGCGGTCACGCAGCGGGGGAGATGCAAACTTTGCTGGTATTTTGATTCCAAACTGTGATATCTCTTATCAGGATGGGTAAGGAAAGAAAGTGTCAGTGGCATTTAGTCTCCTGGACTAAGTTTCTCTGGCTATCTCATGGTGTGGTGGGTGAAAAGTGTGAGGGCAAGGCCATCACAAGTGTGGAAGAACTCACAGACCACTCAGGCAAGCATTCTCCAACAGGTATCCCATGATATCCCAACTGGACGCAACTGACAGTTTTTTTGAGTTGTTAACTTAAAGAATAGTTTTGTGCTTTACTTCATCTTGTCTTTGAGAAAGAAAAATACAGTCCCTAAATCATTTCAATCACTAATGCTTTACTCTTTATTCTCCTCCTTTTTGCTGTTGCAACCATGAAGAGGGGGGCTGTCATGAAAGTGTCATTTAAAGTCGTAAAGATGTAAGAAGGGGAGAGCAGAATGAAGTACCTCATGTTTGGCCCTGCTTTGGCCAGGTGGTTGAGCTAGAGGTCTCCTAACATCGCTTCCCACCTGCAGTAACCAATTATCCTGTGAGAGTGTGGAAGCCTGAACTTTCAAGCCTATTTTGATTTTAGAAATTACAAAGTTTTCTTTTTTTGGATGCACAGCATTCTGTTTAGCCTCTTGCTTGACTTATGATCACATCATATTTACGCTTAACAAGCTTTCTCTCATTCACTCTTCCCTCTACTCTCCTTTACTCAAACGCCATAAACTCTTCCCACCCCATATATTTTTCTTTTACTCCAGAATTATGCATTTCAGATGGGATTTGCTTTGGACTGCTTCCAAATACACCCACTCCAGTGCTCTGAAAGTGATGAGGTTTATTCGAAGATGGACTTGGCAAGTCTGTGCTTCAAAGGGCTACTGATCCAAAGTGCTTCAGGAAGACTTTAAGACACACAAATAAAACCACAAAGCAATAAAATATAAGGTCACGAACGGTGTCTGTATTTAAATGTTTAGAAGAGTTGAAGCCGGTATATAATTCTGCATTACAAAACTTGTCTGAAAATGGCTACTTCTCCACCAGTGAACCAATATCAGTCAGTTTAATGGCAACTGACTACTTACAGGCTGTGAGCATTCAGGGTTCCACTATGGTGAAGAACGTCCATGTCTTCAGCACAACATTGGACTTCGATTCAACAAGGTTACAGGCAGTCAGAGGAATCTTTAACACGCTGTTGACTTATTTTTTTCCAACTGTAGATGCATTAAACATGCTCTGGAGAGGCCGTACTGTCCATGGGTAAGGCTATGAATTTAGAGACCTGGTTTTAATCCTGGCCTGCTCCATAACCTTGACTGAGTTGCCTTTCTCCTCCACATACCCTTCTAGAAAATGAGGGTCCCCCGTACAGCTCTCTGTTGTAGAAGCACTCAAAGAGCTACTGAAGAGAACTGCAATGAAATGACTGGGATTTTGTTTCTGCCAGGGCACTAATTCCAAGACCCACACCCAGTCATGAAATTACCTTTTAAATGATGAGACAGAATCATTCTTTTTTTGTGATATTCCCTGCATTTACCTCCCTTGGGTAGCAACAGTGGAAAGTCCTGGCGAGGAGAGCAGCCAGTAGACAAGGCCTTATTTGCCCAGGTTTTAGGGCTTTGCCTGTGTCAGTGGTGCAAGGATACCAGTCTCCTTCAAGAGGTGTGGTTTATCAGTGGAGCTTTTGCTGTGGCTCGGACGTCAGGCTAATGGTCTCACGTACAGATTCTGTAAGATGCCTTTCATTCATCCTGCCAAACAGGAGCTGTGCCTGTGATGCTTTCCCAAACTGAAGGGCATTGCTTCATGAATGCAAGCAATGTTAAAGCCTGAATAATGCACACAGTCTTCCACTGGCAAAATGCTTCCACCTCTCCCTTTGCCCTCCCCCACCATGTGGTTTAGCTTTTGGCTCTGCAATAGATACTCTGAATAAATGTTAGCTTTTTGAGAGGCTAACACTGAACACTGGAAGTCTGAGTCAAATCCAGCCGTATTACAAGTCCATTGTTTAATTGTTGTTTGTTTTGGGATTTTTTTCCGCTGAAGCTTTATGGTGTTTTAACACCTCTATTTTTTCACTTGGTGGCCCGAAAACATCCATATACTAGTCAATCCAAACAGGAAACAAAAAACTCAATGGGAAAAAGGGATATTGTTCAGCATATATGTTTGTCTCAGCTTTAGCCCACTAAATGGTAAGCATCTAGAAATGGAAAGATGAAGGACATGAAAAATATCCAGATCATGCAGCTTACAGAGCTACATGCAATGTAACAACAACTGGTGGGAACTGTGAAGGACACTCCTGATCTGAGGTGTATTTCAGTTTTCAGCTCAGTAAAACCCCAGCTTCTGCACGAGTAAAAACTTGTCCTTTTTACCAGGCTGTAATAAAATATTTGTGGTGGGTTTTATGGTGCAAGCCACTGTCCACTCAATACAAGCTGAAGGCCATTACCCTCATTTCTGTCATGAGTCAAGCCACAACACATCTCCACACCAAGCTCCAGAGCTCAAGACTGGTGCCAGGCTGTCCGCAAACACCCCCAAGGGCCATTTCAAGGTTCATTTGCCAGAATTACCCGATTGCATGGCATGGGCTGGAAACCACTTTATACCATGCTCTGTTCACCTGGATCAACAGGACACTTATGAGACCTAACAATGTGAAAAGAGAAATACAGCCATGCATCAGTCTGCCTCTAGTCAAGTCAATTTTTAAGTACACACATCTGTGAAACAGCAATCTCCAAACCTCAGAATCCCCTAATCCTGAAGGCTCAACCCAAATCAATATGATTATTGGGAGGTACAGTGAAGTTTCAAGGTATATCATTATTAGGAAGCATGTGGATTTGCTCTGGGATCATAGCTGCTGAAAGCTACAAGAATCTTAAACCCCTCTGTTGTTATCAGGACTGTCTCTCTGGTCTTCCAAACTTTGTGTGCATGGAGTGAAGAGGACCACACTAGTTCAGCCTTACCTGTCACTGATAATCTGTGTGATGTAGCTGTCCTCATCCCAGGCAAGTACTGGACTCAGATGGAACCCAGAAAGGTTTATCCAAGAGATGGCAGATGAAGTCAGTTGAGCTACTTTGGGGAACAGAAAGATCTGTTCTGTATAAAACACATCTTGTGTTTTATAGCATAGTTTACTGTGTCCAATGTTTTCTTGAATGTGATAGCTCTGTATGACTCTATACAGTCCTGCCCACATCTCTGGGGCTCCTTAGTTTCATGCAAACATAGGACAAAAGCATGATCTCCACAGTACTGCACTTGCAGTTGAAGAAAACAGTTTATATCCATTCTCACTCTGGACAGAGATTACAAGGTACTGTGAAATTTTTTTTTTTTTCCACTTATTAAGATGTTTCTTTTGCTATTATCGCTAGAGGGCTGCACCCTTGGACATCTCAAATTTCCTTGCTTCTCCCCATTTTACTGTTCAAGGTCTCTCTGGAAAACCTTCATGTTTAATCAACTTAAAGCATTTCCTCAAACATCCTAATCCTTCTTGACTCCATGTCTGTGCTCCTAGACCTTTCTTCCCATGTATTTCCATGGGACTTTGGAGGCCACTTTTTAACTTCTCTTCGTATACAGTGTCTTCATCCTTTGCTCTATTCATCCATCACCCATCACCCAGAGTGTCGACTTCAGCAGGACCTGAACAAAACTGAGGTAGAATGTGAAAGAAATGGTTTTGCTAGGTATAAATGATGGTCATAAGAGAGGACATTGGCCTAGGGATGTGTTTATTCCATGAAGTGCCATGCAGAAATACCTGAGCTAGCTGGGAACATGCTAGTTCAGGTTACAGAAGCAAAGTGTACACACATTAGCAGAAATACTGGAATTACTTGGGTGTGGCTTTCACAGATTATCCTGTTCCACCCAAATAGGGAATTACTGGGAAGCTGATGTAGCCAAAGAGTGATCATTTCATTGCACTTTTAAAGCCCAAAGTTGGGTTTTTCTAAGCTTTGACTTTTTTTCTCTTAATAAATTATTCACAATGAACAGTACATTTTACACAAGTGAAACTTGTAGAGCAGCCATGAAGATGCTGCTGCTATTACTGCCCTCCCTAGTGACAGCAGAGTATTGATGGCAGAGTCAGAGAAGAAGAAATAACAGTGGAAGGGCTGGGGTGAATATTTCTGCTTGTCTGGTCCCCAGAAAAAGCAGTTGGTGTAATTGAACAAAGGGGAATTAGGAAAAATATTCTGCTGCTTCAAGTAGGCTACTGAGAATCAAGAGAAATCATTACGTGACCTTATGTCTCTAAATTATGGGAGCCCACTTGTCTCTCATACTCCTTTTGCATTAGCAGGGATCCCCCCAGTCCACATTCCTATAAAGATGATGAAGATCAGGAGCTTAATCTCTTCATGCACATCCATCTAGATCTCTCTGAGAGGTACTTATGTAGCCCCATTACCTTAGTTTATCTCACAAGTGTTTTGCTCACTGCCCCAGAAGGCAAATTTGATGAAACTCCAACATTTATTTTGGAAATGGCTGGGGTAGAAGACTCTGCAGTATATCCAAGGAAGTCTGTGGAGGGAATTAATTTCTCAGTTTAAGACAAGGTCTCTCAAATCTCAGATTAGCACTTCAGCTTCTACATGGTTCTCCTTCCCTACCTCGGTTTCCCCTGCACAAAGGAAATTACCTCCATAGAGGAACCAACATAATTGCTGCAGACTCAGCCATAATAAATTCATAAAGCAAGCACTCTGAAATAAGCACCTTTATTCTCAGATAATACATTGGTCTAGGATGCTGGACAGGAAGTACCGTAGGGTTGTTGCTCAAAGTGTCAGTGATTTCCTCATGAGAAACCTCATGAGAGGGCCATGACAGCCCATCAGCATAGAGGTGCTTCATTTCCTTCATGAAAACATAGAAAAACAAGGGATGCAGATGGATTGTTCTGAAATGGGGAGACTACCTAAACAGGATGAGGTTAATTTTTGCAGTGAGACGAGGTCATGAAGCCTGATGCAGAGCAGAGCTGCCTGTCAGCCGTGCAGGCCGAGCTGATACCTCTACAGTGGGATGCAAGGTATCCACATGTGGGAGCTGCTCAGCCCAGCACCAGGCTTGCCTCCTTGCAGTAGTTTGCATTTTGCCAGCAGCACAGACATTAAAAGTTCCTTAAGCTTCCAGAAAGAAGATAAACATGGCTTTCAAT